TTGTCAGGTGTTCTGCCATAGAGATGTGAAAACTAACTCATAAACGGGTGGGGCGTCGGAGATTTCCAGGGAGCCCTCCTTCTCTGCAAACCCCATTAATTTCCCAAGCGCACCTCTACCAACCCTTTCCAGATGGCCTCAAGAACCGGATGACTCGGGCTCCACCAGGCCTAGTGGCGCAGTAATGTCCAACCAAGGTAAGCTGTCTCTGAACTGCCTCCTGGAAAGCGGCAATGAAGCTTGGCCATGTTCTCACAGTTAAGCTCTCGCCGCTTTGTGCCAGCGTTTACCTAGCCCACACTCGGTCTCTGGTAGAGGTGAAAATATGACCTGGTTAGTAAGAAGATCTGTCACTGTGTCTGAGCATGCAGGAATGTCCCACCCAGAGGCGGCTCAGGCTCCTGCTTGTGACCCCATGCTCTGTATGTTCTGATACGATGTCTGAGGAACTATGGGCTGCAGGGAGCTGGGTGGGATCAGCTACACACATCACAGCCCAGGCTAAGACAGTCCCAGGAGCAGGAGTGACGGTCTTCCAGAGTCACCGGCAAGGGCTGCCTCCTCCACCACAGGCCCTGTGCTAAAACTAATGCAACTCTATTATCCCTCTACCGCGTAGAAGTAGAAAGAAGACTCCCTGGGTTACCCTACTGGAGGGCGCCATGCTTCCTTAGAGATATTACAGTCAAAGCACCTCCGCCCTTCAGGGTGGGCCTGGAGCTGGTGTGGAAGAGCCAGCACCCCGGGGTGCTCTGGGGCCTTTGTGTACATGGAAAGCCTTGCTCCACCCCTGTTCCACGGGCTCTCCTGCCAGACAGGTGCTTGAAGCCTCCTCAAGATCGTAATCTGTAGCTCATCTACTGCCTTTTACGCAGCTGTTCTGAAGCAAGGGAAGCTGTCAGCTTCATGGGGCTACAGTTGTCAGGGAAGCGAAGTCAGCTTTTGCACTAGTTACAGAAAAGACGGGGGGCAGGGGGTGGAGGGTTCGGCATTGTAGATGACAGTTCCTTTTGTGACTGCTGTCCTGGAACAGCCAGACCTCCCTCCAAATGTGTTCCGACAAACGCCCTGTTTGCTTCCTCGCTGCCCTAGTGACTCAGGCAGGCCAGAAAGCCGGCAGGCCACAGCGAGGCCTCAGAAGATAAGGAGGTAGATCTCTGCATTGTGACGGTGACACACATCATACCGGTGTGTGTGTGTGTGTGTGTATGTATGTGTGTGTGTATGTGTGTGTGTTTGTGTGTGTGCGCGCAGGGCAGGGTAGCTACTCTGTATAAACTTTCTTCCCCGGATTGCATGGCCACCCTGTGATGTAACCACTTGTGTTCCCACTGCACAGATAAATCAAATATGCATCTGAGGTCCTAAAGTCGGCGGCCAGGCTCTCCGGGGGCGTCTGTCACTCGGGCGCGCCATTCCCGTTATAGGAATGGTATGGAAACGGGAGGCTGAGGTTCTGAGGAGTTTAGAAAGGGATCCACACTTGCTCAGTGGATAAGGATCAACATCACCCGTTCGAGCTCAGGACTGTGCCTAGAGGCACGGTTTGGGAGATCCCAGGTCTTGGTTGAGTGGCAGCTATGCCATTTATTGCCTGGAGGATCCTGGAAAGCTGGCGTGTGCTCTGAGCCTTAGATCCCCATGAGAAAGTCATACTGGTTCCACAGAACCATTGGGAGGGTCCAGAAGGAAGCAGCATGTCCTGGATCTGGTCCAATGCTAAAGTCACATTTAAGATATCCCCCCCCCAAAAAAAACCCCAAAATACCAAGATTGGAAAGCTAGCGCATGAGGGTAAAGAGTGAGCTCCAAAGAGCAAAAGTAAGTTCTCAAAAGTGTTGGGATGCCTGTGGCTGGGGGTCACATTCCCAATCTAACCACATGGCAGTGAGTGAGTCACTTTAGCACTGTGGGTCCCAGGGTCCTCATCCTCTGGGGTCAGGAGATTTCAATGGTGAAGTACAAGTGAGATGTGTGGGCTAGAAAGGGGCCCATGGAAAAGTCAGAGCTAAGAGATACTGATCTTGTGGATACAGTGGCCACTGTCACTCTTCCCATTCTACATAAATTGCTGTTTTACTGAAAATGCTCTAAGTGTGATCAAGACGCAGTAAAGCATCATCTACACGATGGCACAACATCGCCCTCCAGCCCCTTCCTCCATGTGGTTCTGAAGCAGATTGCTCTGGGAAAGGAAAGGTAAGGTCGTTAGTGGAGACCAGCGAGGATCTGAGAGCCTAACAGGAAGAGTCAGGTGGGGTGCGGACTCGTAGGCTGCCTGTCTGAATGCCAGTCCTTTGGCATAAAGGAGACCTGTGCGGACCCCTATGAAAATATCACAAGAATGTGAGCAGGTCCTCTGTAGGGGGAGGGCTCCACCCCCGTCCCACAAAGATTGCTGGGGGAAGCGGGCTGAGAGAGCCCAAAGGCAAGGTTCCATGGAGTGTTAACTCCACTTTCTCTGTTTTCCCATGGAAATGCCAGTAAATATGTCTGAAACTGAAAGGTCACTGGCTGATCATTTCTTCAGCACAGTTCCCAACCAAGAGGCTAAAGGTCAAGCAGCTCTGTCAGGATCACCACCCTGATATGGCTGCCCTGGGCAGATATTAGAAACCACATTCTTTCCCGCCCTTTGCTCTGTCTCCCCCTCTGCTGGCTACTAGGGGATGCAATTCTTATCTGGAATTTGATAGGCTGTAGAAAATGATTACAAATGAAAAGGTTATTCATAATTTTTAAATGAGTTAATTAGTAAACCCAGTCAGACTTGCTCATTGCAGTAATTAATAATTGATTATACTTGAAATTAAACACAATTTTTCATCAAAAATCTAATTAAATATCTGCGCATTTTTTGCCTGTTGATTAGATCAGTTGGTCTGCTGGAAAAGAGTCTTTGTTAAGGATATTTGTGCTTGGCTGAAACAATTAATTTGATCTTTAATAATTGATAGTTCCTTACAAGTTAGTCATCACAGCCTGCAATTAGGGCCGAGCAAGTTGCCCGTGTGCTCATTCTAGCCCTCACTGGGGGAAGAGATCGGATCCTAAGGGCAGAGCAAGATGCCCGTGTGCCCATTCTAGCCCTCATCAGGGAAAGAGATCGGATCCCGAGGTTACCACGGCCAGCCCTTGAGATGTGGGGTGACCGCTCCCCATACAGACAGTGCTTAACTCCAGCCTCACAGACATTATTCTGGGGAACCAGTGAGCTGTCTGAGGGTGAGCCATCACCACGTGGGAGTGCTGGTCTCTAGGACAGTCTGGTACCGAGATCATTCTCTTCCCAAGCCCTTGCTGAGTCTATGCTAATGACAGAGGGGATGCCCAGACCCTCTCGGTGTCTTCCCCAGATATGACTGCTATAGTCCAGCCTTACGTTCCTTATCACAAGCCTGTATTTACTCTTAATGAGCTCACGCAACTAATGCAATGAACCTCTGATTGGCGTTGCAAATCCTGCTAAAGTTATCTTCCACCTACGTCCTTTCTCTCCAGGCCCACGCCATTATTATCTTAGTTGGAGCCATCAACTTTTCCAGACTAGTTCCTTGTAACCACTTCCCAATAGCTCTGCCATCCGTTCCTTCTTCATGTAATGAAAACCTAACTGTGGCCTACCACTGCTGAGAGCTCTTCTGATTGTCCATCCAATAATGTGCCCACCCTGTTTGCTCCAAGGTGAGCATGACAGGCATCACTAATCAATCACAGAGGTTCTTTTTTATTTCATTGGAATATAGCCTCAGGATTCGTACAATGTAGCTTTCCAGGCGACAACCATAAATTAATTGGTAAAAGATATACGAATTGTACACCAGCTTGTTATGGAGCTATGCATTCTCTAAGTCTATATTCATAGGGGAAACAAGACCTGGCATAGGGGAGATAGTAGGATATTCTCAGGTATGTCACCTTCCTGACTGTTTTTAGGAAACCGAGGACCCTGTAGAGGGAGGTGAACTTAGAGTTTACATCATCATTTGAAACCTGTCTATGTTTAACACATTATTTTCATTTCTGAAACAAGTGGCGGTTCGTGTTCCATTGACCTTTTTCTATGATGGCATGGTACTGCCTCTCATGACAGGCTCACTTTGCATCTGTAGTGACAGCCTGCTAGACAGGGAAGTCCTCTGTCTTTCTTTGACCTCGGCTGGTCAGTTATAATTCTACCTACTGGCCTATACTGATAATCCCATTTACTTCCAGAACTCTCTCTGAACTCCTTAGCATGGGTTCAAGGCCTTCTCAGGCTAGGATCACCTACCTTCATCCTCGGAAAAGACATCCCGAGCTAAGCCAAACCCACTTTGGATGCCTTTCCTCACAGGCTTATTACCATAGAGGTCACAGGCTCCTCACTCAGCCCACTTCTCTTCCAATTAATTGCTTTCCCAGGAGAAAATCAAAGCGGGGACTCAGAAATAGGAAACCAGATTTTGCTAGAAATGTGTCCAAAAAATGCCAAGGAGAAGCCATCTTGCTGGAGCAGGGCCACAGGTCACAGAACTGGGGACTTTCTTACATAACCCAGAGTAGACTTGGGGTCGGGTAGAAAACTCGCAGCCAGTGTGGCTCTGAACCTCGGCTCCTCCCTCAGTCGGCTCCCCACTCCCGGGGGCCTGTTGCTTCTCGTGCAGGATTTCCTTGGGTTCTGACTGTATTTTAAAAACCATGACGGCTTCCACAACACACTATCAGCCACCCAGCCTGAAACCCACCCGGAGCAGTCCTGGTGGTTTCCTTTCACCCGTAGGCTCCTCTCCCGAACTGCTCCTCACCTTGGCCGTCCTGACCCAGGCACAGAGGTGAGGGTGCTCCTATGCTGTACGTCATGAACCACTCCAGGGCAAGGTTCCTTGGTACAACCTGCATCCTATGACCGTGTTGCTGGCGCGGTGCCTTTGGTGACCCCAGGTGCTTTGGTGGCCACCCTCTGGGACAAAGGGGCATCACGGGGAGCTGGGAGGTGGGGGTGGGGAGAACGTGCTTACCCACAAAGTACGCGAGCAGGATGACCAGGGTAGCCGAGATGACGATGGCGCTCAGGGCGGCACACTTCCAGTTGCAATACTTGGAGGGCTTCTTGAGGTTAAAGGCCGGCCGGGAGAAGGTGCTGCGGGGCAGGGGCCGGGGTGGGGGCGAGTACACGGTGCTAGACGTCAGGGGGTACCCTGGGGATGTGGTGCAGAAGAGCGGGGAGGTGCCTCCTGGCTTGAAGAGGAAGTGCCTGTGGATGGAGAGAGGCGGGAAGGTGTCAGCATCTGCCTGCCAACCAGGCGCCCAGGCCAACCTGCAGGAGAGACGCACGGAAGAAGAGACATGCAGAGAAGCCTGGAGAAAGAGAGAGAGAGAGAGAATCATCACAGGGAAGATGACAGGGTCAGGAAAAGTCACGAACCGGACCACAAACGGGGCACAAGAAGACACGTTTCCACAGAGCACTAATAGGACAGGAAGCCCCACCCGAGGCAGAAGGCACTACTCACTCAACAGAGGTTGCCCTGAAGTCCTTTTCCTGGGAACTGTGGAGCTGGGGTAGGGGGATGGTTCTTGGGAAATAAACTCTGTTTTCTAAAATCATTACAATAGCTTAGGGGTGTCTAAAGTCCAGCCTGTCTCCTGGAGGTCATTGTTATTATTTTTTTTTTCTGTTGTTCTAATACCTGCATTCCAGTGCACCTTGGTAAGGCACTGGAAGCCCTTCTTTTTAAATGGAGCTTTGCTGGGGTAGAAGTCAAGGAGTCACCATAAGTTCTGCCCATGGCTGGTAACAATGCCCTCACAGCCTCAGGAGCCCTAGCTGCAGTGCTACTTGAAAGCTATGTGGAGGAAAGACGGGCAGCTCCATCCTGTAGCCCAGCCGCAATCTTGAAGGCAGTGGAGAATGTCAAAGCACATGATTGTGGCCGAATCATGAAAAATCCTGCATAACATGGCCCGAACCGTAGCCATGGGAGGACTTGTGCAAACCCTGTGTGGACTGCGTGATTTGTACCGCATGGCCTTGGAATCTTAGGACAAACCCACTCCTCACAGGCTAGAAGACATTCGGACCACAGAATATACACTCGAGGCCAGAATACGTGAGACACAGGGCCTGTGCTGTATAAAAACTGCGACATGAGATGGTTTCCAGAATGGCGAAGGCAGCCGATGGGAAGCTGAGAGCTGCATATTAACAAGACCGCTGTTAATATGCCGGGGATGGGGGTGGGGCAGGGTATTCCAAGGACAGACTTCGCAAGTGGAACGTGGACTTGGGGAATGTTCATGCAACATGACATCGCTTCTCCCAGGAGTTCCCAGGGAAAGGTCTCAGGGGTTTGCATGCAAGTGCAGGGGCCACACGGAGAGCACACACGAAGGAGGAGCATGGGGGGGGGGAGGTGCCACCTACCCGTCACTGTAAGCCCCATCATGGCGGGAGGCGCTGAGAATGTCCATCTCAATGAGGTTGTCCTGCAATGTCCCTAGGAATGGCTGCTTGCCTAGGTTTCTACACACACATGGAGACATGAATGAAGCCATGAGTCATGCATGCATCGATGAAGGGGAGAGTATAGAAACAAATGAAGAGTGACTGTCGGGTGCGGCTGTGCGTGAGGCCAGCGGGGATGAAGGGTCCAGGCAACAGGTCGGTGTGCAAAGCCACAGGTGCACAGCATCCAGAGGGGGCGCTCTCTATACAAACCCGCGTGGCTGGAAGCTGTGTGTATCCCAACTCCAGTTCTCAGCTGGGAGGACTGGAAGGTGCCCAGCAGTGGGCTAGGCACATTATATGCATTTTCTCAAATTTCCAAACTAGATGCTATGCAAGGAAGTCAGGGTGATCCCAGTACTACAGATGAGGGCACCAGGATAGGGAACTGTAGTGGGATTCACCAAGGTCACCAGCAACAAGGTTCAAAGCAAGGATTTGAACTTGTTTATCTGGATCGACAGCCCAACGTTCTCTATTTGACTCCCTCCACATCTGCTAAAGCAACATCTGGAAACACCCACTTGACTTCTCTGAAGATACGAGAGCACCGAGCACCTGTGGCCCCTGTCTTCTAAAGAAGGAGAATATTCTGGAGGGTCGTACCCTGCCCAGGTCCTGCAGAGCCACAGGGACTCAGTTGGTGCACTGAGATAGAGCAACAAATCTGGATTTTTCTTAAGTCCCTGTGGATGAGGACCTGGTTAGAGTCTCACCATCCCTCAGCTTGTGTGGGAACAGGGTGGTAACTGCTTAGCAAGGAAGACAGTTCCCTGAAGACACAGGCAGGGCCTTTGTCCATGAGGGCAGGGCCATGCTTATGCATTCTGCTGACTGTGCCCCGAATGTAGCAGCCCGGGTCCCAACTGTACCTGCTAGGTGATGCCATTCGCTCTCAGGTGCCCTGGATCCCACTTCCAGCTAGTTTCAGGACTGCTGCCTCACGGTAAGGCATACCAGAGGGAGGAGAGACGGCAGCAAGCCAGCTCTGGGCTCTAGTCCTGCCAAGGAACCCTTCTGCCTCTTACCCAGCCTTAGAACACAGTATTCCAATGCAAAGACTTCTTGATGTGTGACTCTGGGTAAAAATCTCCACTGCTTTCCACCATTTTTTCTCCGTGCTGGTGACTACAGCACTAAGATGCTTAGGTGGCTATGGGGTCGCCTGAGATGATGCTCAACGCGATGGATGCCCTATCCTGAAGCCACCACACACGGTCTGCTGTTCAAGGAGCTCTGTGAGTGACTTACACGTATTCTCCACCCCATTCCTATCAAGTCAGCTCTGTCATCGCCCCTTTCAGCTGGTGGGGCACAGCTAAGAGAAGCAACTTTCCTGAGGTCTGATCACAGGGTGAGTAGGTGGTGAGTTTATCCCGGAACGGGCTTGCGAGGCCCAAACCTCAGGCCGTCTGGGCTGCAACTCTGTGTACTCAACACAGTTCAACTTATGCCTGCCACCTTCTCAAATCATAGAGAGGGATGTGGAGGTCCCGTGTCACTATCACTAACACCCCAGGGACAGTGGAGTAGAAAGCGACACTGTTTTGCAACTGGGATGTTGATAATGAGGCACTAGTGGGCCTTGTCCTATGTAGAGTCACCAGGTTCTGGGCCACCACTGCAAGGTTTTCCTGTCACGAGGCTCCCAGTGCCTGGGACAGGGGTTGGCAGTTAGCGTTGTAGATGAGAGGCCTGAATGACAAGGCAGATCTAAATTCAGGCCCCAGCTCCATCCTTCATCTGCCCGAGGCAGATAATCCCTCTGAGAATCTATCAAAGAGTGGTAACTGCTCACTTACACAACCAGAAGTGAAGATGTGGATCTTTTCTCTGCTCTTAACCCTCCCCAGCCCTTCCCAGGCCTACGAGATCTTACATGATCTGGTTTGGTTTGCTCCTCCAGAGTCATGTTCCTCGTACAGATACACTGACTTCCTTGCCTCTGTCAAACAAGCTAAGCCCGAGCTGTCTGGTGAATATTCCCATAGATCAGAACTCCTTCCACAGCAATGGCTTCTCTCCTGCTCACAGCAGCTCCCAGTCTTTCTCCCCAGCCACTCACTGACTCCTTGTGCTGCTTTAGTACACGTCCACACACACACACGCACGCACGCACACACACACATACACTGCATCAATCCATGTGAGAAAACAAAGCAGTGCAAGAGCTCAGGGCTCAGGAATGTTGATGGGAACACGGGGTGCTGGTTTGCACAGTATGTCTCTTCCAGTTCTATGAGGCAGTTGTCCTTTCTGTCGGGCTTGTTGCTATGTGCCTGGAGGAGAAGACTGACTGGTACACACATGCAGTCACTAGACAGATCTGAGCTGAGTGCTGCTGGATGCAGGATATGCAGAAGGAAGTCTGCCCGGCGTATGGCAGGCACATAGATCCTAGAGACAGCAGCAGGCGGTGGTTATTATTATCTCCTCTAGTCTCTTGTTTTGAGGAGGATTTTTGGACTCTCTGCATACTACCTCCCCTGGCATGAGGAGGCCCCACAGTGTCCGCTCAGAGGACCTAAACAGAGTTCTGCTGCCTTTCTGCATTGATGCTGGCTGTACAGCCTGTTTCTGGGAGCACTTGGGAGTTGGCCATCAGCCTACATTTCACAGAGTCAAGGCTGTACCTCGTAATCACCAAACATAAACAAATAAGCATGTTTTTAAAAAGGCCAAGAAATAAGACCAAAACGTTAATGATAGGATATTTCCAGTGCCCAGGTCAAGTGATTTGTATCTTTAATCCGTGTGTCTGTATGCATGTTCGTGTGTCCTGAGGCATGTTCATGTGTGCTGGTTGGGTGATAACCTTGGGTGCCGAGCCTTAGGCATCATTCCTAATTTTTTTCCCTTTGAGACAGAGTCTCTCGCTGGCCTGGAGCTTGCTAATTAAGTGAGCCAGTGAGCTCTAGGGATCATCTGTCTGTTTCCCCAGCAGTGGGATTACAGTGTGTACTATCACACCCTGAATTTTTATGTGGGTTCTGGGGATCAAGCCACGTCTTCGTGCTTGGAGAGTGAGTGCCTGCCTGCCTGAGCCCTCCCCAGCCCTATTTTAACATTTACCATTTAAAAAGAAACGTGTTTTAAAGGGAAGAGTGCTGACAAGCGTCACTTAGGAGCACAGAGCCGGAAGATAAGGAGACAGGCAACAGGGCAGAGTGAAGGATTTCTCCCGCTACCTTGTGATGGATCTTCCAAAAGTGCTTCTGTTAGCATGCCAACCTGGACATTCGTCATTTAGGTCACTTAGGGATGGGAGGACACAAACACTTGCCGGAAGTGATGGTGGTTCAGACTGCTGCTGCTGCGGTGAGACCACCTTACTCTGCGCTTGCAAAACTGTTTAGTTCCTGCCAATGGAGGCCTTGAGAAGCCCCTTCATTTTTTACTTATTTTTGAGACAGGGTCTTGCTATGTAGCCTCAAACCCACCATCCTCACACTTTAGCCTTCTGATTGCTTGTGCCCCCTCACCTGGCCTGAGAAGACACTTGAACGTGATCAGGAAGTTGACTTTGGACAGAGGCTAGATGCAAGGACTTCAGAAGACGGCCCAGGTGTTCTAGCCTCCCCGTGTGCTGGCTGTGGGATCTTAGGCAAGTCTCTTAATTCAGACCCTTCCTCTCTAGACGGGAGGAGGCGGTGTGTGTGCTCATAAGACCACTCATGCGGGAAAGAGTTAAAATGAAGCGGTCCTGAGTCTGCCTAAGACTGGCCCTCGTTGGTATCTGAGGTGCGGGCCTCAGGAGGGTTCCCTGTGTGAACTGCTAAGGCCCACTGGGCACACACTTCGTCTTCAACCTACTGCTGCAGCCATGTTTTTCTTCCAGGAGGCTGTAATTTCAGTATGTCCCAGGCAGAGGTAGTCCATATGGCGACCCTTATTATAACCTAGGGCACTGGGTCCCTACTGTGCCTCCTGCCTCGCAGCGTTCTATGCCTACCACGGTTTCGCTTGGGGAGCAGAGTGTGCCTGTTCTGCACGGCTGCACTGGGCACAGCCTCTGGAACCTGGAGCTTGGTTAGAAGCCCTCTACCTCACTCCGTAGATCTTGGCTCTGCCAATCTTGTTTCCCATTCTTCCCCGGCAGTGAATGCAGAGCTGCGCTCATGACCGTATCATGAGCCCTGTTAGCCATTCCCCAAATCTGGAGTGGTCCTGGAGACTTCCAACATGCCATTTGTGGGGAAGCTGCGAGGATTAAGGGGTTCTATGTGGGAGGGATTCTCATTAGCACCTGGCAGCCCCCAGGGAGGTCTCCGAGAGGGTCAGTCATGGGTACGGATGCTCTCCAGCACACAGAATGATGTCATCTTCTTTGCTTGGTGCGCATGCTCATTTAAGCATCATCCATGGTGCCTGTCTTCCCTTCGCAGGTCCACCTCCCTCTGGGAGCTTCTTGCACGGCAGTGGCATTTGCCTTATATGGGATCTTACACACAGCTGAGATCACATCACCCAGGGACAGAGAAGACTGCCCATTCTGACTCTGCAGTGTTCATTTTACAGATGAACTAAGGAGGCTCAGGCAGGGTGGATGACTTTCTGGGCTCGCCCTGACCCATCCCTGTGCCTCATTTGGGGAACCACAGTAGGCTTGGCCTAGAGACTGTAGGGTGGCCTCATCCCTGAGGTTACATGGGCGGTTTCTCAAATTCAGTATGACCACAAAATGGGCTCCAGGCTCCTGAACCATGGCCGGGATGAGCTGAGGCAGAGCAGAGGTCTGGCAGCCTTCTGTTTAGGCTTTCCCCTCATTCAGCAGGAGCCTGATGGGTTATTAATCAGACAGTCCCTGTGAAATCAATTAAAAGCTTGATGCCACAGTCTGTCAAAGAAGTGGCTCAGAGGTTGGGGACCCTTCGACACATGGCTCCACAGAAGAACCACAGACACGTCTATAGGGCATACTCCAGGTCTAGGGAGTGCAAGTGGGTCCAGGCTCCTCCCTGGAGGACTCAGTGAACCGAGGGGATTGGCAGAGGTACAAGGGTATAAGAAGGGAGTGAGTCTCCAGAAGTCCCCTCTCGCCAGCCTTCTGCAAACCTTCTTTTTCTGCCAGGAGGAAATAGAATCTCTCCTGGTCATCCTACCAGCTGCTATGGGAAGCTGTCCCTTTTCAAGTGTCAGTCAAGCATATCTGGTCACCCCTCTGTCCCATCATCACTCTTTTTACCTGTGTGTTCATATTTTAAGCCCCCCACCGTGCTGTGACAAGCACTGTGTCTTGTGCTGGGGACCCTACAGTAACTGGATCACAGCGTGTCTCCCAGCTTCCTCTGTCATGACCATCTGAGGCAAGAGGTTGTTTTCTTTGCTCTCTTAGCACACAGTAGGCACCTGGTGAGTATTTACTGATAATGAGAACCGCTGTGAGTTAGTGGGAGCCCCTAAGATGGTTGGTCTCAATGTAACCGCTGGAAAAGTCTGATAATGGAGGAGGGTGGGTTAGAGATGGCTGCCAAAGCTTTGATTCTTCTCCCACTGGGAAGTGGGGTTCAATCCCTCTCCTCTTGAATCTGGCTGGCCCATGACAATGTCAGTCGACAAATAAGAGCAGAATTGACAATAGGCCAGGTCTAGACTAAACTTCTCAGAGGATCAACGGCTTCTGTCTCCATACCTTGGGACTCCGATGCACACAGAATGAAGGACAATTATCCCATTCAGAGGATCATAAGCAGAGGTCCCAAGGTACCTTAGGGATGAAGGAGTTCCACAGACAAGGGAAAGGCATGTAATGTGTGCTAAAGATGAGTTGACACTATTAATACCACGTGGAGCAGGAGAGCCGTACATCCAAGTCCTTCCCTATCTCCTGACTTTCCTGTGAAGGACAAACTACACGTTGCCCTTGTCACTAAATTGGGAGGCATTTGTCATGTAGCAGTGACAACTGGGACCAGAAACCACGATTGTTTTCAGGGGTGCAAATGCACAAGGTGTAGGTCCACTAGTGAGCGGTAGGGTGGAAGTTTGGGGGGGATGTACCTGACCCCGAGGACTGTGCCTCTCGATGATGAACAGCCTGTCACATTCTCAGGACACCAGGCCACACGTTTACAAAGCAGTGAGGGGACAGACCCTGTCCTCTTCCTTCCTCTGTTGGGAAGGGACTCATGGCTACCTTCTCAATGACTTATTCCTTCACAGAGTTGACACAGGGGAGCAGAGCTTTATGAACATACAAGAAATATCTCTGACAGTGTGGTTGCTCGATGCCCGGCACTGTATGTGTGTCTCTTACGTTTGCTTCTTTCCAACCTCTTGGAAAAAAGATAATTTTTATCCTAATCTGTCAAGGAAGAAGCCAAGGCTTGGGTATATTGAATAACTTGCTCAGCCAGCCGATGTGTTTAACGTACGGGTCTCGTGTGGCTGAAGATAGCTATGGATCACCCGATGAGACCAACGTTAACATGCAGAATTCTCATGGCATCGTCGAGCAGGGTTGGTACTGCTCTTAGTTTGGGGGCTATCTGTAGATGCACAGAGCTCTGGGGTCACAGAGGAAGCCTCTTCAGCTGTTCAGCTGGGCTGCAGGAGTAAGTAGGACTCAGCTAGACCAAGAGGTGAAGAAGAGGGCACGTCCAGTGGGCGTGCAAGACCCGTGCAGAAGTCTGAAAGGGCACAGACTTGGAGAAGGCTTACATGCATGTCCTCAATATTAAATACATGCACTCTAACTATATATAATGATGGTGTGCTGCATGTGTGTTGATGGATTATGAGAGGGTGTGCATGCCCGTATGTGCCTTTTGGCAGATCAAGGTGGTATTTTTCTTCTTGCTTATCTTATTTGCTAGCTCTCTATGGTGGTTATTAATTATCTGAATGATAATGACAGATGAAAGCCCAGTTTCACTCATTCTAAGCAATGGAGACAGGAGGACAGAGGATCAGCGAGGCAGGCACGTTCTAGCCGATGGGCAGGGGAGGGGAGGTGGGACAATCTTTTCTTTCTTTTTTTTTTTTTTTAAGAAAAAAACCTTTATAGTCCAGGTCTTTTATTTCTTTTTGTACATCAGGCCATGAATTCGTAGGGAATGGGCTCCAGCAGCTCAGGCTCCTTCCCGTTAGTCCTCACGAAGTGTGCTTCTCTGGGTGGAGCAGGCTGGCGCTTCAGCTGAACCCAGGTGCCCTTCTCTTTGGCTTCCTTTTTCTTCTGGTCGTTCTCCTTCACCCGCTTCAGGAAGCTGTCTCTGCTCTTCGAGTGCTTGATGTGTTCAATCCGCACATTAATTCTCTTGGCAAGAATCTTGCCCTTAACTTGCTTGTTTACAATGATGCCCACAGCATGCTGGGTGACATTGTAGACTCTTCCGGTTTTGCCATGGTAACATTTATGGGGCATTCCTTTTTGAACAGTGCCCATTCCCTTGATGTCAACAATATCGCCCTTCTTGTAGATTCGCATGTACGTGGCCAAAGGAACAACTCCATGTTTCCTAAAGGGCCTAGAGAACATATAGCGAGTGCCCCTCCTCTTTCCCTTTGTGTTTGTCATTTTGGCGAGTTACTGAAAGATGGCTACCGCGGCCGAAGAGGTGGGACAATCTTTACATCACATATTGACTATCTGGGACACCTCTCTCGGTGCCCCTCTCCTGCCTCTCTTCCCCTTGAGAAACTTACAGACTCACGGGAAAAGGTCCTACTTTGCTCCCCAAATGAACACCCAAGCAGAGAACAGCCTCCATGATCCATGCAGATAACCAGAGCCACTGATTGGCTGCTGGTCTCCATCAGCCATGTCCCACTCGATAAATACTGAAGATAACGGAGACTTGACTGGCTACCTGGGGTGGGATGATAACAGTCCACCCTGTGATTGATGTGAGCGAGAGAGACATTTCAAAGGATGTGGATGGACAGACAGGGTAATCAAAAAAAAGATACCGGCCGGGGTGGGTCCTGGTAGGCTCACATCTCTGACAAACTCGGGTTTGGAAAAGTGGTTCAACAAGTACAAAATGTGACCAAAGGGTTGTGATTTTTCTCTTGCAGATCCCATGAGCTCAATGTGCTGATGCTGTCATCATGATTGTTGGGGGTCTGCAGAGGAGGGTGGGTGTAACTTTTGTGTGTAGGCTAATTTCCCTTCCTCGGGCGTGGTTTGGCTTTGTGGTCCTCACGAAGAACAGGAGTTTGGGAAGGGAAAACCTATGTGTGCCATTTCTCTCTCTCTCTCTCTCTCTCTCTCTCTCTCTCTCTCTCTCTCTCTCTGTGTGTGTGTGTGTGTGTGTGTGTGTGTGTGTGTGTGAGAGAGAGAGAGAGAGAGAGAGAGAGAGAGAGAGAGAGAGAGATGGTGGAGGAGGAGATTTGCTGGACCAGCCTGGAATGTGTCATCTATGATTTGGAGAGCAGAGAAAGAGGCGTGCCCAAAGCGCTCTGCTCGGGTGTTAGAGTGACAGATGATCTGATTCTCTTTTTATTTTCCTATGATTTCTTAAGTGGTTGCATGGTTTTTATAAACACGCACACACACACACACACACACACACACACCCCGTTTGGAAAACAGTGGCTAAGCATGGTGGAGGAAGATGGCGGCAGGCCTGAGCTGAAGGAAACACCCCATGGCAAATCCTGCAGGAAGGGAATGAGCCGCAGGGTAACAGTACTGGACGGAGGGTCTGGTGCCCTGAGTTCAAGTCCTAGTCATGCATTGTACCAGCCTCCTGTGTCTCCTGTGTGACCTGAGCTGGCCACAGAGCCACTGATTCTCACCTTCCCGAACTCCTGAATGAGGACATCATGCGATGTATGCAGAATACATGGAATCACCACATGCAAGCCTGTGCTAGTGATGCTAATGGAAACCCTTGGGAACTATCTGGGTACAGAAGGGCCAACAGACCAGGAAGCAAGAAGGGAAGGGGAGACTGACCTTCACAGAGTCCTTTCATAGTCCAGACAGGTGGGATGCTAGCCATAGAGCAATGAAATCACATCCAACTGGCTGAGCTAAGGACCCAGACAAAATGGAACCGAGTGCCTGCCTTGTCCTATACTCAGGCTACCTCCTTTGTACGTTTCTTGCCCACTTTTACAAAAGCCTTACCTAACTCGCTGCATTGCCATTGTGTAGACAAGGCAAGCAACGTCCATGAGCTTATCAACTTGACCAATGGCATACCTTTAGGAAGCAGCAGGCTAGCGCTGGGCCTCGGCTCTGGTGGAATCGAGAATCCCAGCCTTCCCCAGCTCTCTCCTACCACTGGAGAGTCCCAGCCCAAGACAAGGCATTTCCTATCAGCTTCTCCAAAGATACAGGAGGTAGAGACACCGTCCCTACTGCCCTGGCCACCAACAGGCCCTAGACCCTGGTTGGTCTGTTCTCTGCCTACCCAGCCCACCCATGCCCTCCCAGCCTTGGTCCACTGGGACCCACCTGGTCTCCAGTGGGATGTTACTGTTGAGCAGCCAGTTGTCCTGGGCATGGGTTGGCTCCTGTGCGCTGCCTGCCGGGGGCTCCCCGGAGAGTGAGTGGTCTGTGGGTGCCGGGCTGGGGTTGCTCCTGGGGGTGAAGTTGCCCCTGTTCAAGGAGTTGATGGAGGCCGCATGGTGCTGGTTGGGGGTATGGGCGTGGGGGAGTGGTGGCGGTGGCGTCCGGAGCCGAGGGTGGTTCTGCAGGCCGCTGGGGTGATCTGGGGGAACAAGCAGTCATGGTCAATGGGCTGCTGGCTGGGCGCCACCCCTGGCTGGAGGAACAGCCACAGAGGACTGAACAAGACCGCAGGGGTGAGAATGAATGTGTCTGGCACTAGCAAATTACACGTTAATTCATTCAGTCAAATTTGTGCTCCACGGGTACTTCTGAGTTCCTTCCGTTCTACATGTGTGTTGAGAGAGAGAGAACAGACGCGAGCCTGTGAGAGTCTAGCCGCCCGTGCTGATGACCCGATTCCTGTCCACAACTTCACTTTTGTCTCTCAGACTTTCGTGGGTTTTGTCTTTAGAGTATAGTCTCACACCTGTGACCTCCTCACCTGGGAGTGAGTGTGTCTGAGACGGAAGTTCTGGTGCCCTGACCCAGACTTACTGATCCAAGAACCCTGGGCTAAGGGCCCAGAATCTGACTTTACAGAGCGTCCCAATGACTGACCCACGCTTCAGTCTGAGAGTCACCGACCCTGGGAACGGCGCATGGTAAATGAAGTTAGCAAGGTAAATGCGTGCAATTAGCAGGTATCTGAGAGCAGGCTCGTCTAAGAACACAGAGCCAGGGCAGAGATGACGTCTGTAGGAAGCACAGGTACCCACGGAGGTCTAGACCAGATGGCCTCCGGGAGAAGATGACATTGGGGAAGAGTGAGCTGGGTTGTGTCTGGGTGATTCAGAATTACCAGCATACTTACCGAGCACGCGCTGTGTGCCAAATGCTGGTCTGAGCCCCCACACCGATGAGGAGGTAGAGAAATCCTTTATTTAGTCCCCCTCAGTTACTCAGAGAGTGATGACAGACAGGCCTGCGGGAGACCTAAGCCACTCACAGAGGCCTCTGCTCACAGAGCTAAGCAGTGTGACAGGACAGGAAGTTGGGCGACTGGGGTCCTGTCTAGATTCTATCACTTGCTAAGCATAGAACCCCAGGTGAGTCGCCTCTTTGAGCCTCAGTTTTCTCATTTGTGGAATGGGAAGTGCCTTTGGGACTGAGATGAGAGTGTTCCAATGCTAACAGCCTTGGCCGTCAATGGGAAGGAAATCCGCTAAGGGAGGATGTCCCATCTCACTGTATTTCTTAAGCATCTAACACAGATTATTGTAGTCCATGGCCAGAGGGAGTGGAAGTGCCCTTAGAGAGGAGCGTGGTGTCTGGGCTGGAACATGCTGGCCTAAAGCAAGATGCCTGCTCTGTGTCTGAGCAGGGACACCTGCCTCAGCAACTGTTTAGAAGCTCTGGATCATTGTAAAATTCTGCGGCAGTTCCAATCCATACTTTCTTTCTATAGATCTCATATTGGTCCGTCTGGCCACATATGAGATACTGTGGTTTACAAACACCAGCTTCAGTGAAGGCCACTAGAGTATCTAAGTTTTGCCAGTCTGTTTTTCCAGAAACAGCTTATGGCTCTTCTAAAAAGCTCCTTGGGTATATTTGGTAACTCATGCATATAATCCCAGAAGAAGGCTGAGACAGGAGGATTGTCTCATAGGAATCTGAAGTCAACCTGGGCTACACAGAATGATCTGTGATAGCCTGAGTTATAGTGAGACATAAGTAAGTAAATGTTTACGGTTGCCATGGTTCTCAAATATCATCTTTCATTTAACAGGTGCGGAAACCCTGAGCACCGGTGTCTCTGCTGACTGTCCCCAGCCCGAGATTCCATGGCGGTGCCCTTCCAGTGCTGAGCAGAGGAGCAGATCACAGAAAGGGACTGGGCCTTGCTGGCACACAGCTCTGAGTTCAAATTCTGTCTCTTCCACTTACAAGCTGTGACTGTGGGACGGGAAAGATGTTCCCTGCTTTCCATGCATGTTTTGATACGTGTGCATGCATGTGTGTGCGCACACATACACACACACCATGGCATAAGCATGTGTGCACACATACTGTGGCATAAATGTACACACACACATGTATAGGCACGCACATATATGTGTGCTCATACACAGGTACCCCATAAATAAATGTAAAAAATTTTAATGTATAATTTAAAAAAGAACCTATGATGTCTAACAAGTTGCTGAACTTCTCGAGTCATAGTTTCCTGGGGAATTCTTTCTAGAGATAATGGCCACCAAATATGGTTGTTTTGAGATTTGAATAAGATGCTTTATGTCAGTGCTCAGCACAGTGCCTGGCATACATCATTTTAACTACATAGTAACTATTTACTTTCCAGTGCTGCTGGCTAAACCCTGGGCCCCACGTGTTGGCAAACGTTCTGCTATAGATCTACACTCCAGTCCTGCAAACAGTAGCTGATAGATCTACTCTCCAGTCCTGCAAACAGTAGCTGATAGGTCTACACTCCAGTCCTGCAAACAGTAGCTGCTGGTCCACAGCAATGCTAAAGGAACATGAATGTATCGCCAACCCACAAAGCATTAGATGCCACCACGGGGCTGAGTCTTCAGCATTTACAACAGAAGTTCTAAAACAAAAGAAGTGAAGAGGGAGGACAGGAAAATGCCCAGCAGAAGGGCAGTGCCCTTCTCCTATGCCTGATGGATCCGGCTGTGACCAGTCCACTCGTTCCTGGGAGCCAGAAAAGTACCCGGAGCTCAACACAGATCAGGAAGTAACCGGAATCGATGGCCCTGTCCCTCAAGTGAGCTGCCTAGGGCTTCAGGTTTTCAAAGAGAAAGGCTGTTGGATGCATTCGACAGGTTTCTCAGGGCAAACACCAAATCTGTTTGTCCTGGGCTCACCGTGGACCCTGGAGGTCCCTATGGTTGGTTCAGGGGCTGATGGGTTCTCAGATGAAGATGTGCACCCCATCCCCGACAAATGTCAGTTTCAGGGTTGGCTGGTTAAGAAGAGTACAGAGCAGGGCCCAGGGGTCTCACAGAGCAGGTGCAGCTTCATCCCTGGGTCTTACAGGTGACATTAGGGCAAGTCACCACTTTCTCAGCCTCTAGCTACTACTTACTTAGCAAATGTGCATGCGCCAAAGGTGCCAATAAAAGATGGAGAGATGGTGGTCTTTTATAAGTTCAAAATAAAGATTCACAAGCATGATTAACTTGGAAATGCTCAATCTAGTTAGACAGCACCCGCTGAGAGAACTGTGTGCAGCCTCATCATACAAATATGTATTGAGGACTTACCAAGTAACAGACGCTAAAGGCTTTACTTAGGAAACCCTGCAACAGCTCCAAAAAGAAGAGGCTATTGTTATTCTTCACAGAAAGATCAAGTAACTTGCCCACATTTACACGACAGAGGGAGCCAGAATTTGAACTTCAGCAGATTGGCTCCAAGGCTGTCGTGTGAAATCCTTCACTCACGTTCATCAAGTGAGCCAGGACAGGCCAAGCACACCCAACAATGTCTGCCATACAGGGTGTATGTCACCTTGTACTCCAGCCCCTCCGGATCATCCTGGAGGCACAGATGTGAAGGCTTGACTCGAGCCCCTGGGCTCTAGGAGGCTGCAGGATAGGCGAGGTACGACCTGTGTTTGGGGGGCACTCCAGGCAGCAAGTGATGAGTGTGCACGGTGATAGAAGCCAGCTTGGCTGCTGGAGGCACACTCAGTCAACAGTATGAGTGGCTGTGAGGGGCAGTGGTGGTGGGTGAGGTAGGGACAATGGGACAGGCTGAAGTGGTGGCTGCCTGGAGGGAAGAGGCTAGAAAACCTGGTCATCATTGGAAGGGTAGGAGCTGGTGCTGGGGCCACTTTAGCACTGAGGCTGGCTGAAGATGAGGCAGGGGTGGGAGGTAGAGGACCAAGTATGGCCCAGGTCAATGGCAGATGTCTTCTTAGAAAATGAGTTGCGGTTGAGCAGGCCACGCTCATGAGAAAAGAAGCATAAACTTTCATAGCTTTGGCTCAGCCACGGGGCTCAAGTGCTGAAATTAAGAACATCAGATGGCTCCAAGAAAGGGTTCCAGGCCAGGTGCCCGCACACACCAACTCTGCCAGACCGCAGACAGGTAGGTGCCCAAGGCTCTCTTTGTGCCAGAGTTAATGATGACCCCAGTGTGCACAGCAGTCATTAATCGGGCCCCGAAGAACATCAGATACGAAAGACGATGGTATTTAATTATCATAAAACACAAAAACTCCAGCTGCCCAAGCATGCCAACAGAAAGAATTATTTGGCTTCCATTAAAATGCCATTGACCACCACTGGCTCGGGGTGGTGATGGAGAGGCGCTGAGACCTCTGCTAATGAGCCTTGGCCTGCAGGACCAATTTAGAGAGGCCGGGGAGCTCTTCGTCAGCGCAGCTGCAGCGGCATCTGATGGCCCCGCTGCTAATCTCAGTTAGGCCTCCGCGGTTTATTTAACTTGAGTTCCACCTTCTGTCACCTGGCAAAGACACGAGACAGTAACTGGCAAACTGTAAGGTCCCAAGGAAGGCTCAGAGAGAACTGCCATGGACCCTGATCTAAAAGCGAGCCCTGGTGTGAGCGGGAGGTGAGGGGTAGATCTCTGGGCGTGGTTTCCCTTCGTTCACTTTCCCCCTGTGTGAAATGCTTGCTGCTCACTTTCACCAAGGTCACTCCTGTGGGCAGCGGACGGGAATTCTCAGTCGTAGCTGGTCTGACGCACTAGATGGACTTAGAGAGAGGGACGGGCCCTGGAGGTGGGGCAGCCCCTGCAGAACTTTCCTTGCAGGGAGTAACACAGACTGGAGGTTGCAAGACGGCTGCTTGACTTTCTCACTGACGTGAGGCAGAGCAAAACCCCAGACTATGGCAATGCTTGGCATCATTCAGGTCGGAACAGTGAGGCAGCACACACCAAAGCTCCTCTGCCTGATACAGAGACTCCTACGAGGGGGCTGGAAACGAGGAAGGGGTGTTTCTCGGAGTCTGAGCGGCTGCCCTGGCAGAACACAGTTAGGAAAGCTGACGAATTCGGACTGGTGAGCCCATCCTTGGGACATGCGCTGCGGCGGCACTGGGAGGGTCGACAGCTACTTTACTGCTTGCTCTGAGCTCTAGACCGTCCTCTGCCCTTCTCTGACCC